AGTAAAAAATGTTGAAACAGCTAATGTTTTGTTATATATATATTTTGCCACAATAAAAAAAAGTCTGTGTAATCAAACACCTAAACTGCATTATGTAAGTAATACCTCCCAGAATAAGAAAAATAGCCAATGATAGTACTTTTTCCTTATATTACGGAAAATTTGAGAGATACTAATATTTTTAAATTTAACTTGTCTGAATTCACTCAGGCAGCTATCAGATGTGATACTTAAATGAAAGGGTGAGGCAGTCTGTGAGAGATTTGTGCTAAAATTGGCACAAGGAAAGTAAACTTGCTAATTGGGGTCCAGTCCTCAGCATTCCATCGGAATAGCTAATGTCTTAATCTTTTCTTATCAGAATTTATTAAGTCAGCTTACTGAATGTTTTCCATGAAAATATATTTCTGGTTTATAAAAAATGTTTCCAAAGAGAAAACAGTTCATTTTACCGCAACTCTAATATGTATTCATTTCACTGAGCAAGCGCTGTTTGCAGTTAGATAAGCTAAATGTGCATAAATTTCATCCACATCCATCCTCTAACTTTTAAACTTACCCTTCCCTCACGTGAACTAGAGTGGTGGGGGAAAGACCTGTGTGTTCTCTGAGGGTCTTTGGTAACTTTTCGTGAGTTCTGTCCGTTGGTTCTTTTGGTGCTGTGTATGAGTTGCTCACTGAAGCCTCAGTGCCTACAGCCCAGAGTTCTGATCAGTCCCTGGGTGTAGTCGAATTGCAGGAGCACTGCAGAATTAATGGTTCCTGCCACAGTTTTATTGCTTCAACTCTGCGCGAGTGTGACCATCTCAGCTTTTTATTGCCTGGCATAATATATATTATTGGAGTCCCTGGGCGGTACAGATGAGTATGATGCTCATCTGCCAACCAAAGGTTGGAGGTCAGAGACCACCCGGAAGCACCTCAGAAGAAAGGCCTGGGGATCTACTTCTGAAAAATCAGCTGCTGAAAAGCCCAGGTGCACAGTTGTACTCTGGGGTCGTCGTGCATTGACTACACCTGAGTTTCGTTTTGTTTTTTGGTGATTTAGCAATGTCATCTCAGACTGCCAGCTTCAGTTTTGCCCTAGAATTTAGAATATTACTCTTCAGGCTTTAATTTGTTTTAACAGATGCTTACACTTCATAAATTAACTCAAAATGTTTACTGTCGTGCCTTATAGTAGCTGTGTTTTCATATCCATTATTATAGGTGCTCGTTTTTAAATGTATCCATAGTTTCAGCCTGTTTTTTTTTATTACAGCCATATGTGTGGCTATGGTTATTCTAAGTATAGTCAAAGGTGCAGTGTTTGCTCAAGACAGACTGCATGGCAATATTTTATGATACCTAGATGCTGGCTTCCTGGTCCCCACCTTGCCCCTTTGTTGGGGAAATCCATTGCCTGCTCTGGGTCCTGTAAACCAGAGTATGTGTCTTGGGCATGTGTCTACTTATTAGTGTCCTCTAACCCAGGTGCAGGTAAGTAAGGAGAGGAAGCAGGAAACAGTAGGGTTACAACACCTTCTCATGGTATTTCAAAAGAGGGCATTGGCCCAGAGAACTAATGTCCAGGGCAGGTGGAGTAAAAAGTTACGTTGCCCTTGTCTGCAGTCAAGTCGATTCTGACCCATATAAGACCAAGTAGCACTGCCCTGTAGGATTTCCTAGGCTGTAATCTTTACGGGAGAAGATTGGTGGGTCTTTTCTCCTGCAGAGTGACAGTAATCTTTTAAACTAGATTTGAGAAAAGAGTTACAAAAATATATTTATACTGTCTTTTATCTTTACCTGTAGTTACTTGCTATGATGACATGTAGTTGCTCATTTAATCCAGAAGTCAATACAGTGGGTGGGACAGATACTATTATCCACTTTTAAACATGTGAAAGTTTTCTGTTCTCCGATTTTGACAGTAAGAAATGTTTATCAAAACAAATTAGAAAATAGAGAAAGGTATAATCAAAGGGGAAATCTCATCAATTGACTACAGTTATTTTGCCAGGCCACTGAGGAGGACAGGAGATATATATGGGAAAAGAAGATAAAACACCATTAAAGAGTCAAGCAGAGTGGCGAGTGGAACGTTTGTAAATACAGGGCTTAGCCGATACCCGCTATGAAAGCAGACAGAAGTGCATGACTTGCCGGGAAGAAATGGCCCCTGATTTCTGAGTCCTAGCCCAGCCCTCGCCCTCCCCTCCCAGTTTGCCCAGCCCAGTGGGAAGGTTGGCTCAAAGATGACCGTCATCCTCTACAGGGTTCCTCATAGGGTCCTCCTGCTTTCACCACGTGATTCCTGATTTGGTTGTAGAATTATAGCTCCCTCATCTTCCCAACAAATGTTTTCTCGTAACAACCGCTTTTTGAAAAATTCCCTAAGGAATTATTGAGTGAAACCACCTCCTCTGTAAGAGAAAAGTGTTTCTCAAAGGGGCGGTAGTTTGAGATTACTAAAAAAGGGTTGTGTGTTAGTAGGAGTATAAATTTGACGGTAAGAATGCCTAGCTAAGTACGAACACACTCCTTATGAAGGCCTAACTTTTATTTTTTTATTTTTCCTGCACGGACAAAGCTTTGTTGAGAAAGAGTAGCTCGCGAGAGTAGACAAAGAGGGACAATGCATCCCTAGCCTTTGTCTCCCTGAACAAAGGATTGGCTAGGGCTTACCGAGATTTTTAGGCAGGAAAAGGCATCATCTTTATTCATGAAGAGGCGGGGATATGAAGATTAGGTGCGCGCGCAGGAGGCAGCCCAAGATGGAACCCGTAACAAAGGCACCTGAGACTGGATGGCAGGACTTATTATGGGGTGTTGGCTCGATTCCTGTCACGGGTCTGTGGGTCACCTTGCGGATGTATGCGCATGCTCCAGGGACCAGATCGGGCTGGTTCTTCTGAAAAACATCAAGGAAATACGTTGAGAGCTGGGTGGGTGGTTCTTTCTTTATTGCATGTTCCAAGAGAATGGGTTTTGTGTCATTAGTTAAGCACATGCCTAGGGGCTCAGTCCCTTTTTCCCTTCCCTGTCGCATTCCCCCCTGAGAGATTTCATACTCGTGATTCTTCATGAGGGCGTAGGGGCAGAGGTCTCTTCTGTAACTTCTTCAAGCTGACACTGGGTTGTTGGCCTGCCTAGCAAAGCAGAAATCTCTCCGTACCCTATCTAATGGTTGGGATGGCTCTTCAACAGGGAGGGGCTGAAAACCCTGCGCTACCACTGACTTTAAATGGAACTGTTGGAGTCTAGATGAGAGGAATCAGGCGAGTAGTTTTAAAAAAGGCACGGGCTGAAAAGAAGCAAGAGGAGAAGGGTAACATCGGGTCTCAGCAGGGATAAAAACCAAGTTGGTGAAGGTAAAAAGCCTTTAATCTGTTGCCAGATGCTGAAAGACTTTACCCACACGTGGTTTTATAACATTGTGCATTAGTCATTTGGAAAATACTGATTTACTGAGTTACGAAGATCTTCCCAGGGTTAACATATTTCATTATAATGCTTTGAAATCACGTTTATTAATATCACCATTGATCTCATCAAAAAATCTCTTAAGAACTGGAAAGCTGGCATGCTCACCTTGGCAGATACAAAGTTTCCAAAATTCCAATTTTCACTTAGAAGCTGAAATTCAATATTAACAACAGATATTGTTAGTTGTTTTCCTTGAAAAGATAGGCTTACTTTGTCCCTTTTCAAGAAGAATGTCAGCTGAATACCCAATTCTTAACGACAGTTTGGTGGCACTGGTAATTAGCCACCCTTGACTTTGCACCATTAGTGCAAACATTAACACAGTGTAGTAGGCAAATATGATCTTGAAAAGTTTCTACCTTTTGCAACCTTCTGAAAATGTCTTGGGGCCCCCAGGGGTCTGTCAACCACTTTTTGAGGGTCAGTGTATAAAGGAATTGAATATGGATTTCTGGCCTTTGCCTTCAGATATCAGAATGACTGGCCCATGGTGAGAAGTGAAGGTAATGTGACCTTAAGGACTCATATTAGAGGCTTGCAGACCTGATTTTTAAATTGAATATAAGTAGGAGTGACAAAAATACCTTAATCTGTAAAATAAGATACTATGAATGGTAGTATGAAAGGCACTCTAATGTGAATTAGAAAACAATTTTCAAGAATATAACTGGGCAGGTTTGCTGAAAACAATACTATAAGTATTGTTAGCTGTGAGTAACTAAATATATTATTTAAGATTTTTACATATAGGATAAAACCATAAAGGAAAAAGAAAGGAATAATTGGATGAAGAAGGTAATTTCATATATTAACATCTCTTCAACTGTCAGTGGTTAGCTTTAAAATTGTGGCTATCTAAAGAACAATGCTTTCACTTCCCCTTCTGCAAAACAGGAATGTAGATACAGACTCTTGGTAATTCTTTCATGGAAGCAGTATGTAGTATAAGTATGTAATATTCTTCTTTCTGCATAAAAATACTATAAGGCCAAGATACCAATCTTCCAGTATATAGACTATGAATGATAAACTAAATTTGAGGTTCTAACACAGTGATAAATGTGTCCTCAGAAGTATAATCTCCCAAGTCTCACTGGAGTGGGACAGATTTAGAGTATGAAAGGGCACAGCCTATTCCGGAGACACAGACCTAGGAAAGATAGTTTATGTCACCAAGAGATGCACCACATAGCAGCGTTTCTCGCTAAGCACGGGGAGCAGCAGAGTCTCTCACATACGGCTGGGCAGGGGTGGGAAATGGCAACACCACTGCAGGGAGACAAATCGGCACTGCCTAGTACAGCTGGAGATGCATAGACCCTCTGACTTAGCAATAATATATGTTTTTAAATCTTTTCTACCAACAGGTTTTCTTATAAAGTGTTATCTATTTTTGGCACTGTTCTCTAAGTAGCTGTCATCTAGGTAAAAATAATATATAAGACTTTTTTACTTTATTTGTAATAGATTTGCTTGAAACTTCAACTCATTCACATACTTGTCAAGGCTTAACTAGTCCTTTTTTATTGCAGCCCTTTGGAGTGAATCAGCCAGGACCATATATCATGTACACAACTGTAGATGCAAACGGGTATCTGAAAAATGGTTCAGGTAAGACTGGATGAAACGCCCATAATGCATAAAATCACCTTTAAACAATATATCGGCAAGGTAAACTTGGCGACAAACGTTATTGTCATGTTTTCACATCATTTTTTTTATTATCTTAGAATTTCAGAGGACTTACATTGGTTGATTACATAAGGTCCCCATGACAAAAATATTAACATTGAACTCCTTGTTTATCCTCATTGTGATAGAGCCAAATCATTATCCTTATTTTTCAATTGAATTTTCAACAGAAAGGCATTGGACGAAAATTACTTGAGTTACCTTGATTAAAGAGTAAACTGGTAAATTCATTGATAATTAAGAAGAGCATCTTAGAAGAAAAAAAAGGAATTCAATTAATTCTACAGTCTAGACTAATCCTAGTATTTTCATGTGTGGAGTTGAAGCTGGAATATTATCTATAGGTTTTTTTGACATATGATTATTTTTAAAAATTCTAGTTGTATATTTAAATAAATAATAAAGGAAAATGCAACCAAGACAAAAAGGAAATAAAAGTAACCAAGGATGCCTGCTTTTGACAGATGACTGACTGTGGTGACACCCAGATCACAGTAAATACAGCTGTGATAATTTCAGTTAACTAAATAGGCAGTGCAATCTAATATATTAATATGATTCTTTGAGACTTCTTGAGTCCTAATTATAAACAGAGTTGCTATTGCTCCTTCACATTTTTGGACATAAAAAAAGGAATAATTCATTTTATGGGCATTCTCATATTTTGTAATGGCCTAACATAAATATGCCACAGTGACCTTTCTTTTGAGCTATTTGTACACATTAAGACTTTCAGTCATACTGCTGCCTCAGCACAGAAACACATTCCACAAAACAAAGCTATCTAAGAAATTTCAAGGAGAAATTGGAAAACACAATCACACTCAAATGCTTTAGTATCAGTCAAGGAAGCATAAAATATATAATTATGTAGATGATTTGAACAAATTACTTATTTAAGTCTTCATTCAGATGCATATTAAACTTTGTAGTGTACAAGAAAAGCTCCAGAACCAGCTGGTTTTATCAGTTAATTCTTGTAGACTTTCAAGGCATAGATAGTTTCAGTGCTTTGTAAGATGTTTCAGAACACAGGAAAGAAGACAAAAAGATACTCATTTCCTAACATGAAGCGAATATAACTCAGACAAAGCTAGCATCCACAAAACCAAAAACTTAGCTCACTGGTGAATTATCAATGAAAAATCGTATCTCAAATGGGAACATTTTAAATTCATCTGTATTTTGAAAGAATGCCATCAAGTAGGTGATTACCTAAGATATGCACTAATGGTTTAAAATATAGTATAACTATTGTATAGCAATAAATCAATTTTTTTAACCTGTCTTTTTTATTATTTTATAGTAACATGTTATGTTCCTCTTTCAATGTGTACTATTGTCCTAATTTTATTTTGGTCTGTTTTTTTGGTTATACAATAACTAGTTTAGACAATTCTCTGTAGTTTATTTTTCTTCATTATAATACAACAATGCAAAAGTAAGCATCAGTGTGTATATATTTTTGTGCAATTAAATGAATAAATATCATTTCACAGGAACAAAAATCTGGAAAAATATATACCGCATTAACTTTTATCTTAAGAATCACGATTTCAACAGATTCACTTTCCACTTTGTATATTTCTGTAATTGTTAACTATTTTTAAGTAAGCCTGTTGTCCTTTTTCATTTAAAAAAAAGAGAGAGGGATAAATTTTACAACCAAAGTCTATCAAAAATATTATTCTTAAAACTAGATGTAGAATTTTGAGAAGACAGCAGATTAGGAAGCTTCAGGAATCAGTACCTCTGCTGAAACAACTGTTGAACTGGTAGGAATTGTATGAATCAACTATTTTGGATCTCCGGAGTCTATTCAGACACTTGGAGCATCCAGACAAGAGCTTGATGAAGAGGCTGGTAAATTTTGATATGCAAGGAAACCTTTGTAAGGTCACTGTCTGACCACAGAGATAATGTAAGAAAAACTGCTACTGCACACAACAAGTAATACCCCCCAAAAAACCAAACCCATTGCTGTCGAGTTGATTCTGACTCATAGTGACTCTATCGGACAAAGCAGAACTGCCCCATAGGGTTTCCAGCGAGCGCCTGGTGGGTTCAAACTGCTGACTTTTTCGTTAGCAGATGTAGCTTTTAACCAGTATGCCACCAGGGTTTCCTCAAGTAAGACACACTTTGCAAAAAAAATAATAATTTGGAAAAGTCACAAATGGACAGCTCCAGCCCTCAAAAAGAAAAAATCAGCAATCCCTGGAGAGTGAGAAAATTAGATTACCAGGGTTGTTAAAACATAATACTCAACAATGTACAGTTCTCAGCAAAAAAAAAAAAAAATTACAAAACATACAAAGAAACAGGAAAGTATAACACATTCACTGGAAAAAAATAATTGAGAGAAACCATCTCTGAGGAAGCCCAGTTGTTTGAATTATTAGTCAAATACCTTGAATCTGCTCAAAGAGCTAAAGGAAATCAAGAAAACAATGTTGGAACAAAATGAGCATATCAATAAAAAGATGTTATTTTGTTGTTAGGTGCCGTCGAGTCGGTTCCAACTCATAGTGACCCTGTGTACAACACAACAAAACACTGCCTGGTCCTGTGCCATCCTCACAGTTGTTGTTATGCTTGAGCCCATTGTTGGCAGTCACTGTGTCAATCCATCCCGTTGAGGGTCTTCCTTTTTTCCCTGACCCTCTACTTTAACAAACGTAATGTCCATCTCCAGGGACGGATCCCTCCTGATAACATGTCCAAAATATGTGAGACGTAGTCTTGCCATCTTTACTTTGAAGGAGCATTCTGGCTGTACTTCTTCCAACACAGATTTGTTAGTTCTTTTGGCAGTCCATGGTGTATTCAATATTCTTCACCATTGCCACAATAAAAGGCATCAGTTCTTCTTCAATTTTTCTTATTCATTGTCCAGCTTTCACGTGCATATGAGGCAACTGAAACACTATGGCTTGGGTCAGGCACACCTTAGTCTTCAAGGTGGCATCTTTGCTTTTCAACACTTTGAAGAGGTTTTTTGCAGCAGATTTGCCCAACGCAGTGCATCGTTTGATTTTTTGACTGCTGCTTCCATGGGTGTTGATTGCAGATCCAAGTAAAATGAAATCCTTGACAACTTCAGTCTTTTCTCTGTTTATCATGATGTTGCTTATTGGTCCAGTGTGAGGATTTTTGTTTTCTTTATAAAGAGACAGAAATTATAAATAGAAAGCAAACAGAAATTCTGGAGCTGAAAAGTACTATCATTGAAATAAAAAATTCTCTAGAAGGGTTTAACAGCAGATTTAAGCTGGCAGAAGAAAGAATCAGCAAACTAAAAGAGAGGACAATTGAAATGATCCAGTCCAAGGAATAGAAATAAAGAAGAATAAGGAAAAAGCAACAGAGTCTAAGGGACCTGTGGTACACCGTTAAGCAGATCAGTATATGCATTGTGGGAGTCCCAAAAGGAGAAATGAGAGAGGAAGGGACAAAAGAAAATTTGATGAAATAATGGCTGTAAATGTCCCAAATCTGATGAAAGGCATGAATATACACATCAGAGAAGCTCAACATACTCCAAGGAGGATAAACGCAAAGAGATCCACACTGAGACACATTATAGTCAAATTATGGGAACTCAAAGACAAAGAGAAAATTTTGAAAACAGCGAGAGAGAAGCTAATGTTCCCGTACAAAGGATCCTCAATAAGATTAAAGCTGATTTCTGCTCAGAATCCATGGAGATCAGAAAGCAGTGAGATGACATATTTAAAGTGCTGAGGAAAAAAACTGTCAACCAAGAATTCTGTATCTGTCAAAACTACCCTTTAAGAAAGGAGTAATCAATTTATAGCTTTGATTTAAAAAAAAAAAAAACAAACCATGAAGGAGAAATTAAGACACTTCCATATAAGCAAAAGCTGACGGAGTTCATTACTAGTAGACCTACCGTACAAGAAATACTAAAAGGAGTTCTTCTGACTGGAATGAAAGGTCACTATACAGTAATTTGAAGCCATAAAGAAAAATAAGAACACCAGTAAAGGTAACTTCATAGGTAAATATAAAAGCCAGTAGTGTTGTGCTTTTGACTTAGTTTGTAATTTTTTTTTTTTACTATATGATTTAAAGGAAAATTCATTAAAATATGTATGAACCTAATAACAAAACCCAAAAATATATAAGGCAAAAAGTGACCAATAAGGGGAGAATTAGACAGTTCTACAGTGAAAGTTGGAGACTTGACTACCCCGCTTTCAACAATGGATAGAACAACCAGACAGGAGATCAGTAAGGCAACTGAAGACTTGAACACTGTAAACCAGTTAGACCTAACAAACGTACACAGAACACTCCACTTAACAACAGCAGAAGACACATTCTTAAGTGCACATAGAACAGTCTCCAAGATAGACCATATATTAGGCCAGAAAAAAATCTAAATAAATGGAAAAAGATTTATATCATGTAAAGTATCTTTTCCAGTCACACTGGCATGAAGTTAGAAATCAATAACAGAAAGAAAACTGGAAAATCCACAGAATGTGGAAATTAAATAACACACTCTTAAACAACCAATGGATCAAAAAAAATCACAATTAGGAAATATCTTGAGATGAAATAAAATGAAAACACAACATACCAAAATTTACTGGATACAGTGAAGGCAGTGCTTAGAGGGAAATATATAGCTATAAACACCTACATTAAGAAAAGAAGAAAGGTATCAAATCAATACCCTAACTTTCACTTTTAGTGACTAGATAAAGAAGGGCAAACTAAACCCAAAGCTAGTAGAAGGAAGGAAATAATAAAGATCAGAGAAAAGATAAATAGAATAGAAAAACCAAAATTTGTTTTTTATGAAAAGATCAATTAAATTGAAAATCCTTTAGCTAGATTAACTAAGAAAGAGAAAGAACACTCAAATTACTAAAATCAGAAATAAAAGTGGG